CACAGATCCCTAAACAAGACCATATCTGCAGATTAAACTTTTTTTGTAGAAGAATTTTTTTAATTTGAACTAGCACCTCATGACTACACCACGTTATGTACGAGAAGCTGCAAAAGACACAGGCGCAAGTGGAATGTAAAAAACACGGTGACATTAAGTAAGTAAATATAATGGGCGAAATATTGCGTCACCAAAAATTATTGAGGTCATGTACATATATTGCGCGATAAGTCAATATATTGATTATTGCGACAGGCCTAATTCAGTGTGTACCTGACTTTGTAGAACTGAGTTGAGCAGCCCAGACAGGTGAAGCTGCTTACAGGCTGAAAGTAACAGATGCATGCTAGCATGACTGTCTCTGGTGTCTGCCTCATACAGATTAATAGCACACAACTCCTCCACACTGTCCGAAAAAAGACAGAGAACACAAACAGACATAAATAAACAAGTGCATATATAAACCATATACTAAATAATTCTGTTCATTTAAAAATGTCATCAACAATATTTCAATCGTAACCCCAATTGATATCAAATGTACATGTGGAGACAACAGGAAAAAGGAGGGGCAATGGAATTGGGAAAAAAGCACAAACTAGATTTGGGCTTTTGAACACCACTGTCCAACATGTCAGAGTAGGTGCAACAACCAAAAGACCGCACAACTCAATTTACTGAACCTTACTAATAACTGAACAGACCTCTGTACGGTTATTCTCTTCCTAATGCCACTCTCCAGCTGTGTCCTGTAAGGCGTTGATGCCAAAGCTTTAAGCAAAGGAGCGCACACCCCTGGCAGCTGAGTCATCACCTCCAGATCTGCCATGTTAAACCCAATGGAAGAGGGTTCACACACCGTCAACGCCACCAGTGAGAAAAAAGAAGAGTTGAAAACATCTTGCTCTATTATCTAAAGAGAAAGTGAAAAAGTGTCAGGAAGCATAATATGTTTTTACTTTGTATGCTCCGATAGCTTCACTAGATATGGGGCATGTAGACTTTTAGAACAAAAGTAAATAGAGTAAAAAAAGTCAAGTTAATATTTTTTTTGTTTTTTTATTTATTATGTTGCCTCTTAAATATAAGAGCAACAACAACCATACCTTACAGAGGTCCTGTGGACATTTCTGCAGTACCATGGTGGAGAACTCCAGAATTCGGACAATGATGGAACACTTGCTGTAGTTGTACTGTTCTGTCTCACGAGGGCTGAAGTGTGACTGACCAGCATTAACCATTTTGAAGCAAGCCCTGGCTGCCTGAACGTCCTGCATGGACAGCTCTGTAAGGAAGAAACTGAGAGCTGGCAAAAAGCTGGACTTCTCACCAGTGCCTGGATGAGGAGAGGAAAGGGAGTACGACACTATTAGCATTAATGTTAGATACAGAAATTTTTAGCAATGTATTTTTAGCAATGTAGCAAGTTTAGGCATTTTATGATGTGGATTCACACACCCAGGATCCTTTGGGGTTGCAGGTTTGTGAAGGTGTTGTAGCAGTCAAGAGCAGCCAGCAGCAGATCCATCCATTGTAAGGTGCCTCTGATGCTGAAAGGGGATTCAACATCTCTCAAAGTAGGCTGGGAGAGTAAACCGCCTCCTTCTAAACACGAAATGAGAAATCCTGGACCACGCTGGTTCACCTGTTCATCCAGCCACGCTGCAGGAGATGCATTACCTGACAGAAAAAAGAACAGAGGAAAAACATTGTGTGCATATGGAAAAAAAGGTTTAAAAGTCACATTAAATAAAAAAAATTTATTTGTTTTTCTTAATAATTTTAGTGGTCATTCTAATATGCAATTCTGATGCAGTCCTTGTGTTAGAGGTGCAAAATGACCTAAATCACATCCATGCAAAACGTCTGACCCTGCGTCACAATGTTCATACTATCCATCCTAAATAGTATGTGAGATTAAAATAAGTGTGTCCCAAAGCATAGTATGCTGAAAAGAGTACGCCAAAGTCCCCGGATGGTCTACTATTTCAGGTAGATTTTTGAAGTGTGGATCCGTGCACAATCTAATGGCTAATATTACCCACAATCCATTGCGATTTGACAAATGATTCGGATCAGAACTACAAACACAAATAAAAAACGTTAAAAAAAACTACAAACATGACAGATGCGACCGATGGTTAAGTAGAGTGGTTTAGATAAAGGGGTTTGAGTTACTAATAATCAACATTTAACCTGTTAAAATTTTTTATTTAATGTTATCTGTGTTAGGATATTTCATCTACAACAACAATGTGAACTTTTATAAACCATTATTAGTTTGGCCATTAACTTTTAAATGCATCATGCAAAAGATATGAGCAGAGTTCTCCGCATAAAGACCCACGGCTGGCAGATCAACGTGCTACTTCATTACTCTCCAATACGGTAGGAAGTGAAATGAAATGAAATGTGGAGGATGTTAACTGTGACAAGATGATTGACAGGCCAGTTTACAGTGACAGGGTGCATGTAACAGGTGCGACAGAGCGCTCCGTTAAAGATGTAACTGTATGACGTGATAGTATGTCCCAAAGCTTGTCTACTCTTCTACTTCACACTCAAAAGTGTGTACTTTTTCTTCAACAAAAGATTACATACTTTAAGGGCGTAGTATAAGTAGGCACATTGGGACGCAGCATAAAACATTTCTTCAGAATTTTTAAGAGCAAGCTTGTCAAGAAATCTGTAATAGTCTTAAATTGAAATCACAGAAAATAATTCAGGACATATGTCCTGAAATTCTGAGATTGGCCAAAAAAAAGACTCTCTTTCCAGGATGTTGAATATTTTTACAGTTGTTAATTTCAAGCTCTATCGAACAATTTGGCATGTTATTTCATGTCAGTTCTCTTATATTTCTTTAAGTTATGTTCAAATTCTGAAGAGGGACAATGAATAGTCTCCAAAGAGGAGAGTCTCTGACTGGCAATAACAGCACTGTTTTGCCTTCATTATAAACATCCTGGTGGTACCTGGCAACAGAGGCACAAACTCATAGAAGAGCTCCATGCTTTTGTGTCGGCACTCAGTCTGCGGTCTTCCACACTGGGTCAGCAGCCACATGACTACATCGGACAAGCACACTGACTGATCTGGAGGGAAACCTCTGAAAAGTAGAAAATACAGGTCTGTCAAGTAGCTACAACAAAGACACAAAATGTTTACGCATTTACATTACTTTACAGAAGTTTTAATAATAATATCATGCTCAAATGTATGTTTACCTAGGCATACGTCTCTTGGAATTCTTATTGAGTGAGTCTGCCTTGTGTTTAATGATTCTCTTCAGATGATCCAGGGAGCTACAACACTGTTGGACAGTTCCTGTGTAGACAATAACATGAAAGCCAAGATAATAGTCAATGACCATCAAACAAGATGCCTTGACAAAGAAAATAATTTAGTTTCTTACCCAGGGATTTTTCATCAAAGTGGGCCAGAGCTAGACTCTCAACAAACACCACCAGCACCTCAAAGACAAACTGCTCCACAAAAGAGCTCTCTTCTCTGAGAAACAAAACAGTATTTGGATAAACATTGCATAACATTTGCATTCACTACAGACAGATTTCTCACATTTATTGCTGAATTGTTAAAGGCTACAGTATATGCAGCCCATCTAATGCAACCACTGACCTGAACTGCCTGTACGTGCTGTTAAAGGTAAGCGCAGCTCCAAGCCTCTTGAAGACGTTGGGGTGTAAGGCCAGGCTGTAGATACGTTTGAAGAGAGATTTTATGTTGGCTGGGCTCTTTTCCTGCTGTTTGGGGGTTGTCTGTTTAATGGACCATTTGACAAATTCCTGGATACAGGTGCCACTGAAGTCTCTAAGGGTGCTATCTAACGGATCCACAATGCCATCCTGTGCAACACAAACATAGAGAATTACAGCGAATATTTCCACACAAATTTAGAGGTGTAATTCTTTCTAGTGTAAATCTGGCTCAATTTTGAATTGAAATAAAGTTTGTCTACTAAGGGGGTTTACTCACCAATATGGCCTCCAGCACTGCCACTGTGTCTTGGCTTTCAAACTTCCTGTTGTTGGTGAACCAGTGGATAAGCTGCATTACCAGAGGTTCAAAGAGCTGCCTCGTCACCTGAAGAAGTATTAACATTTCAGTGTTTGTGAAATTTACACGATTGCAAAAGAGTCTGATGAAAAGGGACAAAACGTACATATGAAACTATGTGTTTTTCAACCAGGGGGCCTCAGCAAACTTCCAAGGGGGCCAGAAAATTACTTGAATTTACTTCAAATAAATCACTCATTCATTCGTTAAAAATTAAATAACTTACTGTAAATAACTTCAAAATGTAAAAATCAAAGTTGTGCAATGTATAAAGAGAAATGTAACTTTTTTCCATTTTTTTGTGTTTTTATTGAAGAACCATTAATGAAACATTTTGAGTCATGAAATTAATCAGGATTAATTATCTTAATCTACTGACTATGCTAGTTCCTGCTAATTAAAACGTTAATTAAACAAGCAGGTGTGTCATTATTACAGGAGAATACTAGAGGAAATATCTTGGCATACATAGGCAACCTTGGATGCAAAAATGTTGAGAACCACTGCTTTACAGTGACTGATGAAGGACAAAAACGGTTTTAATCACATTTATAGCACACATAAGGTAAAAGACCTGGTCGACGTCACAGGCCAAGCGTAGAAGAACAGGAAAGACTTTTCTGTGTAGGTTGTACATGGGAGGAGCAGATTTGTCCTCTTCTGTCATCTGGGCTCCTTTACCCACCATGTATATGACCAGACTATGCAGAAGCTCACACGCTGCCACCTACACACCAGACAGAATTTTCCATTTTAGCCTGAATTTATAGGGTTAATGAATAAAACATTAATGAACTTTATCAACAATGGCAAGAAAATTAGCTAAGATGGCTGAGGACTATGATTACTTTAGTTTGTCTGTCACTGGAGGACAATGCAAGCTCTGTGACCCGTGGCAAGAAGGAGTCCAGGTAGATCACAGGCTTCATGTCTTTAAAAGGCACGGCAAAACTCAGCCTTTTCTCACAGTCCCATGCTACAAAACGCTTCATCATGTCCTCCGCAGAAACAGCTTGCATTAGATAAGAGAAATCTTTAAAAAGAGCTCATTTTTTAGCAAGAACAAGCAAACAAAGTGAACAAGTACTGGCCATTTAAGGTGGTCAATGATGAATTTATTTAAAAGCAGCAGAAACAAAACAACCTGTCACAAGGCTCCTGTTGAGCTGTCCTCCCAAGTGTCCAAGCAGACGTACCACCCTGCGTCTCACAACAGCAATCGGAGACTCATCTCCCTAAAGAAGACCACAGTAACATCAGGACACCGCTGTCAATGTGCTCAAATAACCATTGTTACAAACAAGCCATTGAATACCTGTGCATGCATGCAATTATATTTGTGACCCTGGAGCACAAAACCAGTCTTAAGTCGCTGGGGTATATTTTTAGCAATAGCTAAAAAAAACATTGTATGGGTCAAAATTATCGATTTTTCTTTTATGCCAAAAATCATTAGGATATTAAGTAAAGATCATGTTCCATGAAGATATTTTGTAAATTTCCTACTGTAAATATATATTAACACTTAATTTTTGATTAGTAACATGCATTGCTAAGAACTTCATTTGGACAACTTCAAAAGCCATTTTCTCAGTATTTTGATTTTTTTGCACCCTCAGATTCCAGATTTTTAAATAGTTGTATCTCGGCCAAATATTATCCTATCCTAACAAACCATACATCAATGGAAAGCTTATTTATTCATTTATTATTTATATACAGCTTCTGGATGATGTATAAATCTCAATTTTAAAAAATTGACCCTTATGACTGGTTTTGTGGTCCAGGGTCACATATTATATTATTTTAGTTACATCTCAGAATCGATTAGATTAGCAAAACAGACAAAATCTAAAAATGGCAAACAAATCAATCTTATTACCACAGAAAAGTGTTTTGATTTCTTCAGAAGCCTCATCATGACTTTTCCATAACTTTTTGAACTTCCCGTTGACACAAATGTCACTTCCAAATTGCCATCATCTTTTTCTAATGGGATGATTAAAAACAAATACAAATTACAAACATGACTCTGAAACAGCTACTAAGTAATTTCATAATCATCACTGGCCCTTAGATGAATACAATAGTAAATTTATAATAGTAAGCAGTGAACATTTCTTTGACAGTAAAGTATTTAGGAAATATATGGTGAGATTATGAATAACTGACCAGAGTTAGTGGTTGTTTTGAGGTAGCCATCTAAGTGTGGCAGTATGTCTGTATAGTGTGGCTGCATGATGGCAGCAGGGATAAGAGAAGACCAGGACTCCAGAGCATCCAGCGCTGCTGTGGCTAAAGGAGCATGACTCAAACCTAGCCGCAGAGCAGCCTGCAACCAAAACAATTAAAATAGATGATGATATTCCATTCCATAATTCTAGCATGTTTCAATTTGTTTCTGGTTCCTAGTTACTGTTAATGAAAAAATACTAATGTTGATGATCACAAAATCGCCCATTTCCCTTCATTTTCTAACCTGCAGAGCAGGTATATATGCCTTGATTTCCAGAGCCACCATGTCAGGATGAAGAGAGAGGATGAACATCAGACAGGCAGCCAGGAGCTCGTCTTTATATTGGTTTATACGTACACAAACCTGAGGAAATAACAAAAAATTTTATATCATCATATACTGCACAACAATATGAACAGAATGAAAATTCCTTTAAAGGGGTCCTATTATGCTTTTTCACTTTTTCAACTTTAGTTAGTCTGTAATGTTGCTGTTTGATTTGATACAGGAACTATTCAAGCCGTTCATGCCAGACTGGGGAGAGAGGTGTTGTAATAATGTAAAATATGTGAAAAATAATGTGTTTTTCGAACAACCTAATATGAGAGCCTGTTCTAGTACACCCCCAAAACAAAATCAAGACTTTGTAAAAGAGCATAATAGGACCCCTTTAAGAGTGAAACATAAAGCTCACTGCAATGTTCAAGCATCTAACAAACAAATAAAGTGGCAAAAAGTGTTAAAATTGCACCTCCTTCCCAAACTTTGCAAGGAGCGAAAAACAGGCATTCTCCATGGTTGAGCCACCGCCAACACTTTTTGACTCTTGTTTTAGGCCCTATAAACAAGAGACACTGGTTTTGTCAAAGTTTATCAAGACATTAAATTTAGGAGTTAATATGATGGAGAATGTGTATTACCTGAAAATAATGGATTTTCTTTGCAATGCCCATAGAAAGGGAGAGGAGTTTATAAAAGCCGCTGACCAGAGGGAAACGTATTGATTGCAGAATAAGCTCGTGACACAGGGGGTGCATCCACTGGGTAAAATACTCAGGATTTCTTGAAGGCAATAATTCACTGTAAAAAGTATAACAATAATCTTATGTATGCAATCTCATTCAAAAAGAGTGCAAATAGCAGTGTGTTTTTGTTTGTTTGATTTCTGACTGTAGTATAGTTTTGACACCTGCAAAAGTCAACCAAATTGATAAAGGCAATGAAGTCTTTGGGTTTGTTGGGTACAAGGTTTGCTGTGGGGTCAGATGAAGGCATAAATCCAGCACTTGCATCACTCTGTGCCTAAGAAAAACAATAAATATTTCACTAAACTGGCAACAATACTCAACTTATTGAAACGAATCTCATACTGTCACACGCGCTGACTTTCTGAAAAGCCCTGCATGGATAAAGGCGCGTGAACCAGGATCATGAAACCCAGACGGTCTCTATTAAGCGGGAGCGCTAACAGTTAAAGTCCATTTCTGATTTTATTGTTGTTTGTATTGTTATGTTGCAGTATTTTACTTAATAAAAAATATTTATATTTTTGTTATTTTATATGCTCTGTTGATGGTTGGTGGGGTAGCATCACCCGGGGAGATATTTTTTTTATCCCCACCGGGTGCAGAGGCAGGGATACATAGACCAGAAGGGGGGAAATCCCCCCCATTCCCCCTACAAGTTGCACCCTGTATTTACCCATACCTATGCAAGCATATGAATTGAATACGTGTCTATGTATTAATATTTGGATGCACCTTGATTGATAACTATATGTCTATATGTTTCAAACAACATGGAAAGTACTTAATAGTATAATTAAAAAGAATACTGGAAAATTAGATTACCCAAATTATTTTGTTAATGATGATAAATCAAGTATAAATAAAATGAATGACATTGTCAATGAATTTAATGAGTATTTTGTAAATATTGGGTACAAATTAGCAAAAGAGATCGTGGAGCAGAGAACTGGGGATAGGATAGATGAAATGAATATTTCCAGTAATGATTACTCAATGTTTATTAGGGGAGTTGATGAAAAGGAAATACTTGACATTGTTAATAATTGTAAGAACAAATATTCTACTGATTGTAATGATATTGACATGTCAACTGATTGTAATGACATTGACATGTCGTTAATAAAATATATTATAGAATATATAGTAAAACCACTTACACACATTTGTAATCAGTCCTTTTTAACAGGCATATTCCCTAGTAATATGAAAACAGCGAAAGTTATTCCTATTTTTAAAAGTGGAGATCGGCATCTTCTTTCCAACTATAGACCAATTTCTCTTCTTTCCCAGTTCTCAAAAATTCTAGAGAAAATATTTGTGCGCAGGCTTGATAATTTTATAGACAAACACAAATTATTGAGTGATCATCAGTATGGCTTTAGTACAAACAGGTCGACCACAATGGCTGTGATGGAACTGGTAGAAGACATTTCTTCTTCAATGGATAATAATGAATATACTGTGGGGGTGTTCCTAGATTTAAAAAAAGCTTTTGACACTATTGATTGTGGCTTATTAATGATGAAACTGGAGAGATATGGTATAAGAGGAAAAGTTTGGATAAAAAGTTACCTTGATGACAGATATCAATTTGTACAAATAAATAATGTTAAATCAGATTTAATGAAAGTTACTTGTGTTCCGCAAGGTTCGGTGCTAGGCCCCAAATTGTTTGTACTGTACATAAATGATATTTGTAAAGTGTCTAAAGTATTCAAAATGGTTTTGTTTGCTGATGATACAAATTTATATTGTTCGGGGAAAAATTTAGAACAGCTTCTGAATACAGTGGAAATCGAACTGATGGTTTTCAAAAAATGGTTTGATGATAACAGACTTTCACTGAATTTAAGTAAAACAAAGTTTATAATATTTAGTAATCGACAAAGTAACAATAAAGTTAAATTAAGGATTAACAATGAGGAAATTTTTGGGTGTTATAATTTATCATAAATTATGTTGGAAACCACATATTAATCATGTAAAAACAAAAATGTCCACATCCATTGCAATATTAAATAGAATAAAACATATTTTGAATTAAAAAACTTTATATATATTTTATTGTGCGCTCATAGTTCTTTACATTACTTATTGCGTGGAGGTGTGGGGTCATACATATAAAACCAATATAAATTCAATATATATGTTACAAAAGAAATGAAGGATTAACAATGAGGAAATAGAAAGAGTGTATGAAAATAAATTTTTGGGTGTTATAATTGATCATAAATTATGTTGGAAACCACATATTAACCATGTAAAAACAAAAATGTCCAAATCCATTGGAATATTAAATAGAATAAAACATATTTTGAATTAAAAAACTTTATATATATTTTATTGTGCGCTCATAGTTCTTTACATTACTTATTGCGTGGAGGTGTGGGGTCATACATATAAAACCAATATAAATTCAATATATATGTTACAAAAGAAAGCTATTAGGATTGTTAAAAAGGTTGATTATTACGAACCAACAAACAAATTGTTTATTAATTTACATGCTTTAAAATGTGTAGATTTAGTTGATTTATATACATCACAGATAATGTACAAAGTTTATAATAATTCAAAATAAGAGAAGGTCAGTATAATCTAAGAGGATTGTATATGTTTAAAAAAGTAAGGGCAAGAACTAATGCAAAAAGTAGGTGTTTATCTGTCAATGGGGTAAATCTATGAAATAAATGTGATAAGGAATTAAAATTATGTAATTCACTTTGCAAATTTAAGAAAATGTATAAAAATAAGGTGATAAATAATTATATGACTCAGTATCAATAATTGTGAATGTATTGTGAAAATATTGAAGTAATAGCTGGAATGTGTATTTTTGTTATGTTTGTTTTGAATTATGTATGTGCATTTTGGGAAATGTTTATGTAACATTGTTTATCTTGTATTATCTAACTTAGTAAAAAGTGTCGCTCATCAGTTAACTATGTATAAAGGGTAGACATAATAAGCAAGGCTTCGGCCTACACCTTTTTCGGTAATTATGTTTATTTATTTTGTGAAAAGTTATCTGTGAGGACCGAGATAAAATTATTGACTGATTGATTGATTGATTGATAATGAATATATAAGTATATGTAAATACGTACGTAATGTACATATGTGAATATATATGTATCCATATTGCATCCCATTTGATTTTATTCTAGTCAGGTATCTTTTTTTTCCTACCTAAAATCAAGAAAGGAGACCAATAACTGTACCCATGAAGCTGTTTTGACTGTTTGTCTGTTAATGTTTGTCAATGTTCCATAATAATAAATAAAAATTAAATAAAATAATAATAAAATAAAGTAAATAAACAGAAAAACAAAATACCAACACTTTCAGCAAAAACACTTACTTCTGACTGAGGAACCGGCTTAGAGCACACTCTGATCAGGCCTTGGTGAACTGTTGTTGAAGAAACGAAGAGTCTGAGCACTAGTAAAGCTAACCTTGAATCAGATCAGCCGAAGCTAACCTTCAGTTCATCCTTACCCACAGAACTAGTGAAACTCCAGAGGACTGGACCTCGAACTGCCATGGCAACAAACACCTTGATGATGGAGCAGCAGGGTTCTGCATTCTCTGGCTGTACTGAGGGAAGCTGTCCATCTGAACCACAAGGAGGCGCTCTAGCACAGGAGTGTACACTTCAGGGATCTGCAACCAGTTATAGAAATTATATTATAATCTGTTAGGTGAAAACAGATGAACTGCAGAGTGAAGGCAGGCAAACAAACATTGAAAAACTGCATTTGTTCATTTATTCATTATTCATTTATTCAAACTAAACACTTGAAACTAAATTTGTGGTCCTAAAGCGATGACCAAACCTATTAGTTGCAGCAGCATAGAATAGGGGACTAAAAATTGACCTACATACTGAATATTTATTTAAAATGCCAATTTATCAACATTTTTAATGGATTACATAAAGCAATGCTGGATATAATCATCTACTAGGGGTGGGCGATATGAGCTAAAATTCATATCACGATATTTTACACTGTCCAGGCGATATCGATATTATATTGCGATATGAGAAAAAAAATTACAGGCAAAATATTTTAATCTTATATAACTAGAAAAAGTGAGGGAACCTGAAAAGTCTTTTTTTTTTATTGTGCCATTGTTTTTCTCAAAAAGTGCAAACGTGCAACATGAGGTAGGCCTGTATGAATTAAATTAAATTAAATTAAATATTGTGTGTTTGAGTTGGCCAGTGGTTCCCAAACTTTTTCTTCCAGGCCGTTTTTCTGTGATCAAAGCTGAATTTTAAGCATCATTACTCCAGTATTCAGTGTCACATGATCCTTCAGAAATCATTCTAATATGCTGATTTGCTGCTCAGTAACAATTTCTGATTATTATCATTGTTGTAAACATTTGTGCTGCTTAATATTTTTGAGGAAACTATTTTTTTACGATTCTCTTAGTTACGAATATTTGAAATTGTTCTTTGTGTCAGAGCACTGAAGTTCGCCAGAAATAGAACGGGCATCAGTTTACTGTCATGGATTTGTCCTGTGGTGCCACATCCACAGCAGAGAACATCACTGGGTTCTATTTGCTTTTGTCAAATCGCGCCGCTCGCATCTGGTGTAGACGCTTAGAGCAGAACAATGCATTGTTCATTTATATTTCTACATGGCTCCCTGCAATACAACTCTGATTCTTCAATCGCGCCATCTAGTGGTCTGTTATTGATACAACCACAACTGCTACAACTGAGTCATGTTGAGGTAATTAAAATGTCAAATTTATATTTTGGGCTCAATACAGTGTAGTCTTTATCACCCTGCAGAGGTTTATTTTGCAAAATAATGTGCTGACTGTACACTATTCCTCAGTTTGGGAACCACTGGAGTAGGCGATTTGTGCTCTATTAATTTGGTCTGTTACGATGCTCTATGAGTTTGATTACTAATGCCTGTGTAGTACTGCGTTGCACACAGGAAAAAAACATTCAGCCTCGACTCTTTATTGTCATTTGTGTTAAAATTTGCAAAGCGTAGCAAATTGAACAAAACTATATAAATGCAAAATTTGAATTCATGAATATATAACGGTATCCACGGTATAGCAAAATCCATATCATGGAACAAAAAAATACCGGTACTCACTTTCATACCGGCATAGCGCCCACTATCTATCTAATCTATCTATCTATCTATCTATCTATTAGTGG